CGGTCGCTTTCCGTGAGGGGGGAGGGGGGTAATTGGGGGGGGTAGGACACCGGGCCTTGGCTCAGGAACCAATTTCTCGCCTTATCATTTGTCATGGAAAAAACCGCCCCGTCGCGTGGGAGCTCCAGCCCGCCCCGGCACTGCTCCATTCCCAGTGTGGAGCCAGCTCATGGCAGCGCGCTGGAAGCTGTCTCCTGCAGCCGACGGCACTGCGCGGTACTTATGGCCTGGAGAAGGGAGGGGAGGGGAGGGGCGTTTTCGTTTTAAGGCATTCGCTCCATTAATTTGTCCTCATAACTTATTGGCTTGGCCTGTCAACCCTCCCGCGCGCGCACGGAGGAGGGAGGGGGAGGGGAAGCGATGCGAACGGGCGGGACGAAGGGAAGCCCGCAAGAGGACATCGAGAAAGGGGAAATGGGGGGTTGGGGAGGGAAGGGAGGGGGAAGCGCAGTGAAAGAAAACGACTCGCGTTAAACTGTTAAGCCGCCGAGCTATTAAGGGACATGCCTTCCTGCCGGGGGCTGCGGCCCGCTGGAGGAGGCCGATGACGGAGGCGCCCGCGCGCAGCCATAGGGGTGCGCCCGGGGTGCAGTGGGCTGCAAGGAGGTGCGGCACGCGCCCGCTCCAGACTGCATAATAACTCACTTGGGTGACGTCACCGAGTCTGTCCCGCCGCCCGCCCGTTAGAATGAGTCACCACCGTACTACCAGGAAGCCACCCCCGCGGCGGGGCGGCGGCGGGGCGGGGCGGCGGCGGCGGCCCAAAGGAAGGACCCCCGCCCCCACCGCCACCCCGACCCCGGCGCACTCTACTGAGGCGCCTCTGAGAGGGAGAGGGAGACGGCGGCGCCGCGACGCAGAGAGGGAGAGAGAGAGGGAGAGGGGCGCGCGCTTGGTTGGCGTGCCCGTCTCCGTCTCGCGTGGAGCCCTCGCAGCCGCAGCGCAGCCGCGCCGCACCGCACTCGGTCAGTAGCCCGGGAGGCGCGGCGGCGAGCGGTCAGGAGCGTGGCGGCGAGCGTGCGCGCGGGATACGGGGCGAGCCGGCGAGCGCGGGACAACGCCGACAGCGTGCACCAGGGAAGTCCGCGGCGACCTGCGGGGGGACAGAGACGGCGTGCTTCCTGACGGCGTGCGAGCGATATGATACGACGTGGGAGGTGGCGCTGCCCTATGCGGTCCTCCTGAGAGCAGACCCGCCGGAGTGTTGACGTCGTTATCCTGAGGACTATGGAGCCACCAGTGACCGGCGAACGGGCGGCGGCGCCGGGATCCTCCGCAAGGACCAGAAGCGCCTGACGGCCGACGTCGTGGCCCCCCGAGTCCACGCGTAGCCCCACAGCCACAGCACGATGAGCGCCCACCCGGTGTTCCACAACTTCCCCCAGCAGCGAGGTAGGCACGCCGCCCGCGGCTTTTGTCAACATTTCTCACTGCGGCGACTAATGTTATTCTTTCGCCCGAGAGTTAATTAAGGACGTGACCGGGGAGGAAGTAGGCGCCACTTGGAGTCCAGGCAGGAGGCGGCCGGCGGCCGGTATGCTTCGGGCCCCGCCCGCCCCCCGCTCGCCTGACGTGTTTCTGACGACGCGTTTATTTCCCTCCCTTGCTGACCGAGGCAGCTGGGTGCAGCCCAAGCTACCCCACCCTCTCGCCCTCTGCGACGGCGGCGACTCAGACCTGCATTTCTGTCCAGTTTAGGCCCCGCCCTGGCTCACCACGAGGGGGCTGTGGTGGTGGCCTCTATGGTCGTCAGAGTCGTAACTTGGTGCAAGGGGTGGTGGTCGGCACCAGCGGGAACAGACAGCCTGCCGCCTTTGGCTTCTGTTCCTTCTGTTCGGCGGCCAGAGGAAATTAATCCCACCCCACCCGTGCAGAATTCTTGAGCATTTCGGCCACGCGGGGGCGGAGGAGGGTGGGGTCCGGGGAGTGCGGAGGCGGAGGCGGAGGAGGGCGCGGAGCGCTCCGCGACCGCCTCCCTCCGACCTCCCCGTCGCTCGTGTCCGGCCCGCTCGGGAGGGGAGTGGAGTGACACACACGACGTCCTCCGAGCTCCGGTCGAGATGACAGCCAGGGCCGGCGTTCCGGCGGCGTGGGCGGGCAGAGGGGTGGGCTGGGGGTGGAAGCAAAGGGGCGGGGGCGGCGACTGGGGGCGAGAAGAGCAGCAAGCGGCAGCGCGCGAGTCTGAGCGGGGCGCGTCGGGCGCGTCGCAATGCACTAGAGGGGGGGCGGGGGGAGTCTAAACCGGCAATTGTAGACGACACCGGGGGCGAAAAGGTCAACTCTGCGCGCGGTATATATCTTCCTTGTGGGGGCGGGCGCGGGCCGGGGTGCTCCCCCCCCCCCTCCAGCGTTGGCTTCGTTGGGTCCTCTCAACCCTCAATCTCACCCACCTCGCGCCTGGCCTCCTTTACTTGGCTCATACGTTGTGCTGCAATCACAAGAGACGACCCACCCCCCGCACCCCTCAGCCTTTCCTGCTATTCCTGCCCGCGTCTCACGTCTCCTTACTTTTTCCCCGGTCTAGACAAAATGATTTATTCTGCCGAGTACGTGTGCGAATGTGTGCCTGTGTGTGTAGTGTAGTGTAGAGTCGCCCACTTTTCTTAGATAAAACACGCCGGGCTGCTTGCTGTTTGCGGGGCGCCCTTCTTTTCCTTTCCCTCGCGCCCGTTTTTTTTTAGTGGCCTGCTTCTTGACCGGTGTTGTTTTTATCATTTCTTTCCCGCTGTATCCCGTCCTTTTGTCGTGCCCTCACTTCCCCCTGAGCGCGCGTCGAACGCCGTGAGAATGTTTATGGTTCCAGGGAGAGGATGGGGCGGATGGATGGACGGCAAACAGCGTTATCGAGAGCTATCTCGCTCTCTCCCCCTTACACTTTGCCGCGACACGAAAAGGCCGACAACTCTTTTCACATATTGTTTTTTTTTTGTTTTTTTTTATCGGTTTCCCAGCCGAATGAGAGCGAGGCGTTATATACGTGTGCCGTGAGAAAGGCATCATGTTATAGTCTTCAAAGTCTTGTGGTTTTCATGCCTTTTCCTTGCACCCCCTATCCCTCTCCCCATGACCTCTCTCAACCCCGCCCAACCCCGAACTACCACCCCGTCGTCTCTCTGGGCCAGACCAGCTCTCCTGCTAGCTCTCGAGTCTCGTTGTCTCATTCCTCCTCTGTCGGAGCGCGAACAAATATTGTTTTCCGGAGGGAGGTATAGTATCCCAAAGAAGAACAAAAGTATGAAAACTAACAATCTTTCCTGCCGAAAAAAAATGCACGCAAATGGAAAACAATGAAAAGTGGTTATGGTGTGTTTTTGCTTTATACGTCAACCTGCAAAAAGGAGGGAAAAAAAACAATTAATAAACTACACAAATTTTAATCTGGTTCGCCATAATTAGAGGAGCACCTTTTGGTTATGTGCTCTGGCTGCCTGGTTCCGCCAAATGCTATCTCCCTCTTTCATAAGCCCCCTCCCTCATCAGACCTTGCATTATGTAGGGGTGTGGTGGGGTGGGTGGGCCGACTGCGGGGCTCCTATCTCTGCTTGCCACGACCATTGCAAATTGACCTTTATGAAAATATCGCGGAAAGTAAACCAGAGAGAAGCAGCCAGCAGAGGGCACAGCAACAGAAAAGTTCACCGTTTTTGACGGTCGCTTTCCGTGAGGGGGGAGGGGGGTAATTCTTTGGGAAAAGGAAGGCGAGAGCGTGTGGATGTATAATACTCATAGTACTGAATGAAATGCGATCGAGCGGGCGTGTGCCGTGCGCCTAGGGCCACGGCGCCTTACGGCCCGGGCGAGTAGGCAACCCGCCCGCACGCGTGGCATGCGGTGCAGTCTAACCCATGCGAATCAGGCGCTTCTGCAACCACTGCAATACGATTGGTTACGGCCGCCGTCGCAGCTCACACCTTTTTGTGGTGTAATCATACTCATACTGCACTACCG